TGCTGTGGTGGCACACAGGGATGCTGTGGTGGCACATGGGGATGCTGTGGTGGCACACATGGGGATGCTGTGGTGGCACACAGGGATGCTGTGGTGGCACATGGGGATGCTGTGGTGGCACACATGGGGATGCTGTGGTGGCACACAGTGATGCTGTGGTGGCACACAGGGATGCTGTGGTGGCACACATTGGGATGCTGCAGTGGCACACATTGGGATGCTGTGGTGGCACATGGTGATGCTGTAGTGGCACACAGGGATGCTGTGGTGGCACTCAGGCTGTGAGGATGCTGCGGTAGCACACAGGGATGCTGCGGTGGCACATGGTAATGCTGTGGTGGCACACAGGGATGCTGTGGTGGCACATTGGGATGCTGTGGTGGCACATGGTGATGCTGTGGTGGCAGATGTGGGGAGGCTGTGGGGATGCTGTGGCAGGTGCAGGCAGCACCAGGGCCTCGCTGAGGGGAACAGCCCAAAAAATAAAGGGGGGAGTGTCCCCTGCTGACCCCCCACACTCCCTGCCAAGCACTCCCAACCCTCCTCACTGTGGTCCCCAGTGCTGTGATCCTTCTCTGCCCCCTCCAGGACAAGATGAAGCAGCTCTTCCTCCTCCTCTTCCTGGGGCTCATCAGCAGCTCCTTGCAGATCGAAGACAACAAGATCCCTGGGCTGTGCTCGGGGCAGCCGGGCATCCCAGGGACCCCGGGCCTGCACGGGGGGCAGGGTTTGCCAGGCAGAGACGGACGGGATGGCCGGGATGGAGCCATGGGCATGCCGGGGGAGAAGGGCGACATGGGCCCTCCTGGTAAGAAAGGAGAGATCCCAGCTGGGGCAGGGGATTTGCCATTCCCTGCCCATGGGGAGCACCCCATGCCAGGGGGTGAGTCCTGCATGCTGGCACAACTGCCAAATGGAGAATGAATCCTGCAGAAGTGCCCTTCCCATGCCACCACCACCCCTTGGCCCTGCCTGTGGTGCCCCTGTGTTTCTGCAAAAGGCAGCAGCTCCTTGTCACTGGTCAAGCTGCATTTGTGCCCATCCCCGATGCCACCCCTCTCTCCCAGCCCTGCTTTAGGAGGGACCACCAGGAATTGCATCATTCCTGCTTTCTCTCAACCCGTGAGGGTTTCGCCAACGATTTGCTGATGCTGAGCAAAATTTACCCACCCAGTCCTCCCCGCTCGTGCTGCTTCCCCACACGGAGGGGGTGTGGCAGGGAATTGGTGGAACTGGGATTGGGCAGGAGGGATGGAGGAGCTCTGTGGTGACTCTGTGTCCCCTCTGCCCGCCCAGGAGTGCCGGGTCCCCGCAGGGAGGTGGATGGGCTGCAGGGTGAGAAGGGAGCCCAGGGCGAGTGCGCTGTCNTGCCCGGCAGAACCCCCCTCCAGCCCGGGTGTCTGTGCTGCGTGCAGAGAGCTGCGCCTGGGACGAGCACCTGTGTGACCGCGGGCTGTGCCTCCAGCTGGGCTTCGTGTGCGACGGCTTCCACGACTGCTCGGACGGGAGCGACGAGGCCAACTGCAGCCTGAAACACAAAGGTGAGAGGGACAGACCCCTCCTGCAGCCCCCAGACCCCCAACTGCAGCCCCCAGAGCCTGGGGCGCCGGGGATGGGCAGGAGAGGGAGATGGAGGGAAGGGAGAGGGGGTAAATCTCTTTGTGTGTGTGTCTCTCCAGAATGTGGGGGGCCGCTGACCGCCTTGGAGGGGCACCTGTCCACCCCGAACCACCCGCAGCCATACCCGCACCAGCAGGTGAGAGAAGGAAGGGGCGCTGTGGGAGCGAGGTGAGGATGAGGCTGGGCAGGGAGGAAGGCAGCCCCGGCCCCGGGGAGAGCTGGGGGTGCCCCTGCCCAGCTTCACGGGTGTCGCCGGCTGCCCCCCACCCTGCCCCGCAGCTGTGCCTGTGGCAGATCTCGGTGCCCCTGGGCCACGTCATCGAGCTGCACTTCCACAACTTCAGCCTGGAGTCGCACGAGGATTGCAGCTTCGACTTCGTGGAGGTGCACGACAGCGCGGGCACGGGCACTGCCAGCCTCATGGGCAGGTACCCGACACCCCCAGGCCTGCTGTGCCACCCTGGCAACAGCCTGGGGAAACTGAGGCACGGAGCCGCCAGAAGGCAGGGTTTGGAGGTGCTGGTCAGCCCCCCGAGCCCATCTCTTGTCCCCTGACCTCGGCAGGTTCTGTGGCCACCAGGTGCCACCCGCCCTGACCTCCTCACGGCACGTCATGACCGTGCTCTTCGTGGCAGACGAGGGAGTTGCAGACGAGGGGTTCTTTGCTACCTACCAAGCCCGCAATGCCACAGAGAGTAGGTAGCCAAGAGGGGGCACAGGGTGCCCAGGGTGGGTGGTGCCACCTCTATCTTTGGGGGGCTTCAAGGCCAGGCTGGATAAAAACCTGGAAAAGCTCTTGTTCCACAGCTGGCCCTGCTTGGAGCAAAAGGCCCCCAGGCCCCTTCTCACCTGGTTTCTCACCTGGTTTATGCTATAACCTCACAGCCATGGGGATGGGACCTGGATGGGCTCACCTGCACAGGGATGTGATCCATGGCCTGAGTGCTGCCCCCAAATAACCCAGGGAATTTGTGATTCCCTAAGCTGGATCTGCCCGATCCCCTGGGCAGTGAGCGTGACAGGGGTGGTCAGCACGGGGCCAC